CAATTCATATTTTATGAAATGTTTTTTTACTTTGAAAGGCTATATTAATATAGCAATTTTCCTCTTATTGAACCTCCCCCCTCACTCTAATGTTCCAGAGTAAATCCCACTTGGTTATGATGTAACCCTTTTTAAAATGTCAGATTCTGAGAATGCCCCTGGTGGTTCACACTCCCAATATACGGGGCCCAGATTCATTTTGGTGAGGGAAATATATCTCACATATCACAATTAAGAGTTCAACTGCAATAACTAAAGGTCCTACATGCTGCATTTAAAAAATATATTGCCGGGGTCCAGCCCCAGCAGGATCCAGGGGAACCCTCAGGATGAACAGCGTCAGCGAATGAGAGAGAGAGTGAGACAAAGCTGGGGGCTAAGTCTGAAGTTTATTTTTGCACGGCCCCTTTATACCCTTAACAACTTCTTTTTGGGGGAAGTGCACATTGCTTACACACAGGTCATCTCAAAACATTACAGCAACTTGACCTTCAACAGAAACAGGATGTCACCCACATACTTTCATTCACAAGAGTCTTTCTTATCATTTGGCCTTCAGGCCTGCTAACATTTTATGGCTTGCACCTGGTGTGACTTAAGCAACTTCAGCAGCCAACCCTGTTTTTCTTATAATTAATCTATTTTCTTTCTAGTAAGCAACATCTCTATGGGAACTAGATAGGATGACATTTTTACAGAACAGAAATGCGAAGGACTGCAGAAACAGCAGATATGGCACAAAACAGCTCTTAGTCTAAAAGTTAACTACCTGCAAGAAGTCACCAGCTAATCTCTAAAGTATTTTCTATTAGGCACATTTGTGGCTATTGTGGAGCTTTTCTCACCCTGTGAAGGGGCCTATGCTTAATAGTTTCTTTTGTTAGGTACTGTACTTAGGATGTTTAGAACAATCATGAGCATTTTTTTGCAATGAGAGCACACATTTATCAAACAAGCCAGAATGCCAGCAAAAGGGTTTGAATTGAAGCATTTCCTTCATCCCTGGCCCCTTCATAGGGTACCAGCATCCAGGAGATTTATTAATTAACATTTTAAGTTGGTCTTTATTCAGTGAAAGAGGAGCAGGAGAGCTCTCGGCAGGCAACACAAGAATCCACAGCAGGGTGAACAAGAACAACAGCAGAAAGGGGGGAGGACACAGGGTGGGGTAGAGGCCCAGGCCAATCTGAAGTGTTTCTTATCCTAGGCGGCCTTGCCTGTTAGGTTTTTTCTCGTGACCTCGTCATGGATGGGGTCCCGGATGGCCTTGCCTGCCCAGTATTTTCTTCATGACCTCGTCACAGGCGGGACCTCCCATAATGGCTCCCGGCAATATATCACAATGAAGATTGAAGATCCATGTGCTGGTGTGGCCAAATAGATAAATAAATATTTTAAATAATTTTTTAAGATCAGATTCTATTTTCATTAACACTTTATTAGGATTTTTTATTGATATTAATACATGAGATTCATCTATAGCTTTCTGTTTGATAAAATTTTGGTCAACTTTGTGGCTCAAAGTTACATTTACTTCTTAGAATTTTAAGGTTTACCTTATTTTCCTATACTCTGGAATAATTTAAGTAAAATTGGGATTCTCGGGAATCAAGTCCCCATGATTGCTGAGGGTTTCATGGAATTCTCCTGTGAAACCATATGAGAGCTGATGCTATCTTGCGAGGAGCTTTTCCACTACTTTCTCTGTTCTTCCTTCCATGAATCCTGTTCTACTTCAGTGTTATGTCTCTGTTGTGTTTTTCAGTTGTTAAGTTGTGTCCAATTCTTTGTGACCCTATGAACTGCAGCCTGCCAGACTTCCTTGTCCTTCACTATCTCCCAGGGTTTGCTCAAACTCATGTCCACTGAGCTGGTGATGCCTCCAACCATCTCATCCTCTGTCACCACCTTCTTGCCCTCAGTCTTTCCCAGCATCACGGTCTTTTCCAATGAGTTGGCTCTTCACATCAGGATGTCCAAAGTACTGGAGCTTCAGCTTCAGTATTAGTCCTTCCAGTGAATATTCAGAGTTGATTTCCTTTAGGATTGACTGGTTAGATCACCTTGCTGGCCAAGGGACTCTCAGGGGCCTTCTCCATCACCACAGTTCAAAAGCATCAATTCTTCAGTGCTCAGCCTTATTTATGGTCCAACTCTCACATCCATACATGACTACTGGAAAAACCATAGCTTTGACTATATAGACTTTAGTCGGCAAGGTGATATCTCTGCTTTTTAATATGCTGTCTAGGTGTGTCATAGCTTTTCTTTCAGGGAGCAAGTGTCTTTTAATTTTGTGGCTTCAGTCAATATCCACAGTGATTTTGGAGCGCACCAAAGTAAAATCTGGTACTGTTTCCACTTTTTCCCCATCTATTTGCCATGAAGTGATGGGACTTGGATGCCATGATCTTTGCTTTTAGAATACTGAGTTTTAAACCAGTTTTTCCACTCTCCTCTTTCACTCTCATCAAGAGACTCTTTTGTTCATCTTCACTTTCTGCCATTAAAGTGGCATCATCTGCATATCTGAGGTTGTTGACGTTTCTCTCAGCAATCTTAATTCCAGCTTGTGATTCATTGAGCCCAGCATTTCACATGATGTACTCTACACAGAAGTTAAATAAATAGAGTGGCAATATACAGCCTTGAGATACTCCTTTCCCAGTTTTGAACCAGTCCATTGTTCCATGTCTGATTCTAATTGTTGCCTCTTGACCAGTTAGAACCAGAGACATGTAAGGGGGCCTTGTATTCCTATCTCTTTAAGAGTTTTTCAGTTTGTTGTGATCCACATTCAAAGGCTTAACTCTAGTCAATGAAGCAGCAGTAGATGTTTTTTCTGGAATTCTCTTGCTTTTTCTATGATCCAGCATTGTTGGCTATTTGATCCCTTCTTTCTCTGCCTTTTCTAAATCCAACTTGTACATCTGGAAGCTCTTGCTTCATGTACTGTTGAAGTCTAACTTGAAGGATTTTGAGCATTACCTTGCTAGCATGTGAAATGAGCACAATCGTACAGACATTTGAACATTCTTTGGCATTGCCTTTCTTTGGGATTCAGATGAAAACTTTTCCCACTCCTGTAGCCACTGCTGAGTTTCCAAAATTTCCCAGCATATTGAGTGCAGATCTTTAACAGCATCATCTTTTAGAATTTTAAATAGCTCTGTTGAAATCCCATCACCTCCATAGCTTTGTTCATAGTAATTCTTCCTAAGGCCCACTTGAGTTCACACTCCAGGATGTTTGGCTCTAGGTGACTGACCCCATGTGATTACCTGGGTCATTAAGACCTTTTTTGTATAGTTCTTCTGTGTATTCTTGTCACCTTTTCTTAATCTCTTCTGTTCTGTTATATCCTTGCCATTTCTGCCCTTTATCTTGCCCTTCTTTGCATGAAATATCCCCTTGTGGGTGAAAGTCATTCAGTCATGTCCAACTCTTTGCAACCCCAGGACTGTAATCCACTGTAGCCCACCAGGCTCCTCTGTTCATAGAATTCTCCAGGCAAGAATACTGGAGTGGGTAGCCATTTCCTCTTCCAGGGAATCTTCCTGACCCAGGGATCAAATCCTGGTCTCCTGAATTGCAGGCAGATTCTTTACTGTCTGAGCCACCAGGGAAGCCCAGTTATCTTGGAAAGATCTCTAGTCTTTCCCATTCTATTTTTTCCCTCTATTTCTTTGCATTGTTCACTTAAGAAGGCTTTCTTCTCTCTCCTTGTTATTCTCTGGAACTCTGCATTTAGTTGGGTCTATATTTCCCTTTCTCCTTTGCCTTTTGGTGCTCTACTTTTCTTATCTATTTGTAAGGCCTCCTCAGACAACCACTTTACCTGCTTACATCTCTTTTTCCTGGGGATAGTTTCAGTTATCACCTCATGTACAATGTTATGAACCTCTGTCCATAGTTCTTCAGGCACTCTGTGTACTGAATCTAATCCCTTGAATCTATTCATCACCTCCACTGTATAATTATAAGGGATTTAATTTATGTCAAACCTGAATAGTCTAGTGGTTTTCCCTACTTTCTTCAATTTATGCCTGAATTTTGCAATAAGGAGCTCATGACCTGAGCCACAGAGAGCTTCAGATCTTATTTTTCCTGACTGTATAGAGCTTCTCCATCTTCAGCTGTAGAGAATATAATCAATCTGATTTCAGTATTGACCATCTGGTGAGGGTCAATATTGATAAGCACTATTTACCCACAACAGATGTATGTAATTTAAAATGTCAACATTAGCAGATCTGTTTTCTCAGTCACTGCAGGATTATTGTCTCAACTATGTAGCCTGATGACCATCAAACCCACTTCAAACATTTTATGTTACAATAAATCATAAGGCACCCATTATTGCTTCTAAATATTAGAGTACTTTTACAATAAGAACACCATGTTTATCTTCCTTTGTGCAATTTGAGAAATAAGACAAGGTTAGTTCTATGTGGCATGTGCAAATTTCAGGACAGTTTTCACATGTCTTACCATGCGGTTGCTTTCCTTCCATACTGAGAGTCTCCATGTGGGACTGTTGTGCTGTCTCCTCCATCCATGCTTTCTTTCTGTTTGAGTCTAGATTACTACTGCTTTTTAATGAGTACTCTTTCATAGGACAGGATGCTAACTACTGCCCCCAGGATTCCTCAAATTCAATTTTTAAACCTGGACTTTTTCGAAAACAAAATGTATATATTACTTTGTTAAATGGGAAAAAAATTATGGTAAAAAAAAATTTAAACATTCAAATGCTACTTGCATCACAACAACACAGGAGAGGCATTTAGTGGGAATTAGAATAATAAAAAGAAGATATCAAAGAACGAATATCCTCCATGAAAATACTTCACCTGGCTTAGAAGACTTGGAATGATTTATATATTCAGTAGAGTAAGAAATCAGGGTTGGGAATGGTTTCAACTTAATCTAAACACTTTTTTTCTTTTCTTTGTAAACTATAGCTGACTCGCGTACACTCCACAGCCTCTGATGTGGACATGGCTGCCGCCCAGGACGTCAGTCTGAGGATCGTGCTGGTCGGGAAGACCAGAAGTGGGAAAAGTGCTACTGCAAACGCCATCCTGGGGGAAAAAGTATTCGACTCTAGGATTGCTGCCCACGCTGTTACCAAAACTTGTCAGAAAGCATCCCGGAAATGGAAGGGAAGAGACCTTCTCGTTGTTGACACCCCAGGGCTCTTTGATACCAAGGAGAGCCTGAACACCACCCGCAGGGAAATCAGCCGGTGTATTCTCGTCTCCTGTCCTGGGCCTCACGCCATCGTCTTTGTCCTGAAGCTGGGCCGCTACACACAGGAAGAGCAGCAAACCGTGGCGTTGGTCAAGACTCTGTTTGGGAAAGCAGCCATGAACTATATGATCATCTTATTCACTTTCAGAGAACACCTGGGGGACCAGAGCCTGAGCGACTTTTTGAAGCATGCAGATGTAAACCTACAAAGCTTCCTCCAGGAGTGTGGAGACCGCTGCTATGCCATCAGTAACAGCAGAGAGACAGAGCAAGCTGAGAGGGAAGCTCAGGTGCAGGAGCTGCTGGAGCTGATAGACAAGATGGTGCAGAACAACCAAGGGACTTACTTTTCTGACCCCAAGTACAAGGGCGCATTGGAAAGCCTGAGAAAGCTGGAGGAAGTCTTGAATAAAAGATATGCTGATCAATTAGAAATAGAAATCCAAAAAGTGGAAAAGGAGTGTGTTCAAGCATGCGAGAAGATTATGCAGGAAAAAGAGGGGAAAATTAAATTACTAAAGATGGAATATGAAGAAAAACTAAGAAACATTAGGAAGGAGGCTCAAGACAATATATTTAGCCATGTATTTGGTGAAATTATGAAGCTTCTTTCAAGAATATTTCCTTTGTTCAAGAAGTAACTATTTTCTCACAATTTACTATGGTTAGCAAAGCATCTCTCCAGCTCACTCCCTATTGCTCTCCATGACTGCCTCCCCTCCAACAAATACCAACTACAAAATTGCTTAGTTTGAGCTCTGATTCATTGGACATGGTTCAAAGACTCAAATGAAAGGAATTACAAAGCTGAAACGCATCTTGCATTGAGCATTGGCACTACCTGTGAAACACATTACACAGGCCCCTTGTGAATATTGTGTAAATGTCAGCAAAGCTTCCATTCCCACCCCCCCCCAGCAGCATTGTTCTCTGGTTGGTGAGAGATGAGATGATAAATGTTTGTTGTTTTTAGCCACTAAGTTTTGGGTAATTTGTTACACAGCAGTAGATAACTAGTACAAGGCGTAATGTATGTTTATGCATATATACAAAATATTTCTTTAAATATTGGCCCCTCTGCTTGCCACTGGGGAAAGGAATTTCAGATTCTGGGAATTGGGGATGGGAGGAAACTTACTTTTTACTATATACCCTTAAATCTATTTTAGTATATTTTTTACCCAACAAATGAACAAAAAGACAAATAATAACATTTGTAATAGCCTCAAATAAACAATAATTCCAAAGGCCCGTTTCAAAAACAGTTGTCTTATTTGTCTCCACTTTCCTTTTCTAGGTTCTGGCTTAAAGTTCTTCTGCCTATAAATCCAGATTGCTCTGTGCCAGAATGTTCCATTTCCCCCTGCAGATCCACTTTCTTCCCTTTTTGGTCCTTTGGCCCTGCCAGGGACCACATCCTGGGGTGCAATATTCTCTGACTCTCTCTCAGACACCACCAGTGAGGAGGACAACAGAGGATCCATGGGAGTCAGAGAATTAGATGAGGACATTTGTCTTCTGGATCCCTCTCTGCCCAGTCCTATCTGACCAGCTGTCACCTCCAACCAAAGTTACAGCCACAGGCACCGGGGGCTCTCGGATCTCACCAGTAAAATACACCTGTGTAGGAGTCATGTCCTGCCAAGCCTGTGGTGTGTCTGCAGCAAAACTCCTGACTGTTTTCCAGGGATCACAGCTTGACCTGAGAATGAATTTTAATTTTCAAAAATGCCCAATCTGGTGATTAAGGTAAATGGTAAAGCTATAAGAGGTAGCCATAAAATAAAAAGAATAATTCTCTTTTAGGATCCCTAACTCTAAAGTCGATGTTTCAGGAAAAGTTTCAAACGTGTTGTGGGAAGTGGAAAGAGGGTTAGAACACAGGCTATAGCTCAAAGGGGACACGTTTGAGGGATGGTAATAATTTGACAAAAAAAAAAAAAGAGAAAGCTTTGCTTTAAAAAAGTAATTGTTGCAAATGCATGCATTATCTCTAGTATGTTTCTTAATACATTGGTCTTGTTTACCATTGGTTTGTCTAGATTTCTAGAAAAATTTAAAAGAATCAGATATTTAAAGATACAATTTGAGAAATATCAAGAAAATATTTCTTCCCATGCAATTAATAATGCCATTGCTTTCTTTTCTACCTGAAATTCTATAGCTTGTTTATTTATCTTTTTTTATTATCATCTGTTCATTTATATTTTCAAATTTATTGCCATAAAAATTTATGGCACAGAATTCTCTAAAAAAATGTTTTAATCTCCTTGAATACATAGCTGAAATCCTTTTTATAATGCTTAGTATTTTTATTGTGTCCACTGTCCTTTTCATTGCAATCAGTATTAGCAGAACTTTGTCAGTCATTCCAAAGAATTATCTTTCATTTTCAAATTTTGATATGCTTATTTGTGCTGTCTTATATTTCATTAATTTCTGTTCCTTTCTTTATTATATCCTTTCTTCTGAGTTCATTGGTTTTACTCTGCTCTTCTTTTTTATTGCCTTCTTATATTTCAATATACATATTGAAGATTATGAATTTTCATCTAAATACTGCTGTTGTTGTTGTTCAGTCGCCAACTCATGTCCAACTTTTCGAGATCCCACGGACAGCAGCACCTCAGGCTTCCCTGTCCCTCACCATCACTCATAGTTTGCCCAAGTTCACATCCATGGCGTCGGGGATGCCATCCAACCATCTCATCCTCTGTTGCCCTCTTCTCCTCCTGCCTCAGTCTTTCCTAGCATCAGGGTCTTTTCCAATGAGTTGGCTCTTCACACCAGGTGGCCAAAGTATTGAGCTTCAGCTTCAGCATCAGTCCTTCCAATGAGTGTTCAGAATTGATGTCCTTTGGGATTGACTGGTTTGATTTTCTTGCTTTCCAAAGGACTTTAAGTATCAATTATTCGGCTTCTGCCTTCTTTATGGTCCAACTCTCACAGCTGTACGTGACTACTGGAAAGACCATAGCCTTATCTATACAGATCCTTGTCAGCAAAGAGGTATCTTTGCTTTTTAACACACTGTCTGTAGCTTAGTCCAAAAGTTGTATTTCATTGTTATTTAGTTCTCCATGTAGTTTCATTCATTAAGGGAATTACAAACTGCTCAGGGTTCTAATAAAACACGAATTCCCTCCACTCCATTTTCACTTATATCTCTGAAATTTCAGTGAGAAGTGCATCAGTGAGCAGGAGATGTAAAGGTGGTTTAAGGATATACACAGGAGATGAAGGGAGGCAGGCACAGAATGGGGTGGCAGCCCTGCTTTATCCACACAGGGCACTGACTTGAACTTCGCACCTGTTCTAACTGGGTGGTCTTCCTTCTGCCCTCCCTGCAGGGCCAGGGCAGGGTGATGTACAGAGAAGCAGAAAGGGGGTGGGGGGTGGGGAGGGATTCAAGTCTGAGATTCTCAGAACCCCCAGCAGGGCCCTCCTCCTTGAAGAACTATCAGCTGCCTCTTCACCTCGCCAGCCCCCGTCACACAGGCCGGCTTCCTGCTGCTCTCCTCACCGAGACCCTGACTTCTGCTTCATGCATTCTGGGTCTCACACGAATCGCTGCTTTATTTTACCCTCTATTTATGTCCTGTGGATGAGACTCTCCCCCCAGTTAGGCTGAGATCTCCTCTTATAAACACAACTGCCCAGAGCTGAACACATAGAAGGTGCTTAGTGAATATTGGTGTGAAGGAATGTGATAAAATGGAAAGAGAATGGAAGGGTGGGATGGACAGAGCCTGTCCAGTCCATGAGCAGAGGCAGGACTTTCCACCAACTCCTGTTGAGAGCCCCTTGCTCATGAGAACTCTTGTGAGGACACCACGCCCTCCATGTCCCTTCTGAGATATAAACTTGCTGACAAAGAGTAACCATGGGCAAAAAAATGTGAGAAATTCTGGTCTTGAGCATGGATCCTGTTTTTTGTGCTGCCCCCACTGCACCCACACCCCATCCCTCCTTACAGTCTAATCAGGACCCCTTCCCTGACAAACATCCCCCGGGCCTCCCCTCCTCTCACTGCTTCAGGTCCCCAGGGCTTCTTGAGCTGAGGTTTGAGTGATGCATTGAGGTCCTTTCTGGTCCTCAGCATCCAGGTTTTTCTGGCCAAAGCCTCAGGACCTCCTGACCAGGCTCCCTCTGTCTTCCAAAGCCAGATCATCTCGAAGGGCTACCTGAGGTGTGCCAAGAAGACACCAACAATGGTTTCCACTCTCTCTCTTTGGGAACCAAGACACCAAAAGGGAGCTTGTGAGCTCTGGGTCTCCAGGGGTGAAGACTGGGAGATGAGGCCTTGCCCTTGGGAATAAAATCTCACACAGGAGGATGTAATGATAAGCCAGATGTTCTAGAAAGTTCTCCTATGGTGCTTTCTGATCACAGGCCAAGATATGGGCATTCTCATCATAGAGCCATACAATGCATTTTACAGTGTCCTGTTCTATGGTCAATGGTATTCTGTTTCCTAAAATTTTGTCAAACTTGGATTACTTTCTCTGGACTTTGGGATCCACAAAGCACCATGTTGCAGAAGATGATCATGCTGGTGATGACTATCATCATCTTTGTCAGTTTCCTACTTATCCTTCTCCATGAAGCAGTTTATATTTTTGAAACTGGTCTTATTTTCACTATTTTAAGTTTTCTTCTACAATCCCTGTGATATGGTCCAATTAGACATTACAATTCCTGTTATCATCCATTCAAATGATATATTAAGGTAGCACAGTTAGTTATGGAGTTGACATCTAATCCAGGCTTCTATTTATCATATGGTCTCCTTCAACCAGGCAGTTCAGTTGCTCAGTCATGTCCGATTGTTTGCTATCCCATGGACTGCAGCACTCCAGGCTTCCCTGTCCATCAACAACTCCTGGAGCTTGATCAGACTCATGTCCATCGAGTCAGTGATGCCATCCAACCATCTCATCCTCTGTCATCCCCTTCTCCTCCTGCCCTCAATCTTTCCCAGCATCAGGAGTCAGTTTTTCACATCAGGTGGCCAAAGTATTGGAGTTTCAGCTTCAACATCAGTCCTTCCAATGTATATTTAGGACTGATTTCCTCTAGGGTGGACTCGTTTGATCTCCTTACAGTCCAAGGGACTCTCAAGAGTTTTCTCCAACACCACAGTTCAAAAGCATCAGTTCTTTGGTGCTCAGTTCTCTTCATGGTCCAATTCTCACATCCATACATGATTACCAGAAAAACAATAGCTATGACTAGATGGACTTTGTTGGCAAAGTAATGTCTCTGCTTTTTAATATGCTGCTGGGTTGGTCATAGCTTTTCTTCCAAGGAGCAAGCATATTTTAATTTCATGGCTGCAGTCATGATGGCAGTGATTTTGGAACCCAAGAAGAGAAAGTCTGTCACTGTCTCCATTGTTTCCTCATCTATTTGCCATGAAGTGATGGGACCAGATGCATTGATCTTCATTTTTTGAATGTTGAGTTTTAAGCCAGCTTATTCACTCTCCTCTTTCACTTTCATCAAGAGGCTCTTTAATTCCTTTTCACTTTCTGCCATAAGGGTTCTGTCATCTGCATATCTGAAGTTATTGATATTTCTCCTGGCAATCTTGATTCCAACTTGTGCTTCATACAGCCCAGCATTTCACATGATGTACACT